TTGTCCTTCTCTGCCTGACTTATTTCGCTCAGCATAACACCCTCAAGGTCCATCCATGTTGCTACACATGGCCAGATTTCATTGTTTCTCATTGCCATGTAGTATTCCATGGTATAGATAAACCACATCTTCTTGATCCATTCATCTGTTGATGGACACTTAGGCTCCTTCCATGTTTTAGCTATTGTGGAGAGTGCTGCTATGAACATTGGGGTATATGTGCTCCTATGCCTCAGCATTTCTGTATCCCTTGGGTAAATTCCTAGCAACTGAACATCTTTTCAAGTGCTTGTTATTTACATATCCTCTTCAGTGAAATGTCTGTTCATGTCTTTTGTCTATTTGCTAATTGAATTGTTATTGTTGAGTTTTAAAGTTATTTTTATATTGTAGATATTAGTCATTAGTCAGACATGTAGTTTGCAAATATTTTCTCCCAGCCTTTAGCTTGCCTTTTCAAAGACAAGCTTTCCAAAGACTTCTTAAAAGGGTCTTTGAGAGCTTCCTGATTGGTGAACACATGGAGATTTGGGGAGAGTGGTGTGCTTAAAAGGCATGGAAGCTCTATACTCCTTACCACATACCTTATTGTGTGCATCTTTTCCATCTGACTATTCTTGGGTTATATCCTTTTATTTAAAAAAAATCTAAATTAAGCAAAAAAGTAAAAATAATACAGATAATGAGAACCAGAATTCTTATCAATGTGGAAGAGAGTTACAAACAGAAGAGAACAGAGAGAACCCTGTAGTGATGGAGTGGAATTGGAGGTACAAATGGAAAATTTGTAAATCCACAACTCAAGTTACCATACTCAGTTACGAAGACCATAATTAACTGAAGGAAAAAAAAAACAGATAATCAAGAAGAAATAAAAGAACTTGCAAGAGAAATTCTGAAGTTCATCACATATGGATTGTCCGTGGGAGGGTGACATATTGGGGGATAGCCTGTATCAAGGGCTTCAGGTATGTTTCGCTCCAAACATTTCATCAGAGTAGAGGCAAAGAAGTCTTGGACAATGTTTATTCAACTAACACAAATGTTCCTACGTAAAATGTTGCTGCCTGCACCTACTATTCAGAATAAATATAACTATCTGAAAGGAAAAAAAGAGAGGGGCGTCTTTCACAGAGCAAAGTTTTTGAATTTTGATCAGGTCCAATTTTTCAATTCTTCCTTTTATGGATTATACTTTGGTTTCAAACTGAAGAATTCTTCGCCTACTTATAGATCCTAAAGGTATTCTTTTATTTTTTTTCTAAAACCTTTATAATTTTATGTTTTACATTAAAGTGTGTGGCCCATTTAGAGTTAATTTTTGGATAAGGTGTTAGATTAAGGTCAAGGTTTAGTTGCTTTGTTTTTTGTTCTTTGAGAGATTTTAGTTTTTACTGATGGATATCCAGTTGTGCATCTTAACTTACTCAAAAGGCTATCCTTCCTCTTTCCTTCTTTTCTATGTTCTACATTAACATACAGGAAAATCAAGTTGTATAGCTTCATGTAACCACTCTGACAATCAAAATGCTAACACTTCTGTCACCCCCCCCCCCCCCCAAACTCTCACACTAACCTTGTTACACTGTTTCTCCACTCCTAGTCCCTGGCAACCACTGCTTTGTTCCTTGTCACTACTTTTGTCATTTTGAGAATGTCACATAAATGAAATTATACAATCTGTAACCTTTTGAGACCTCTGTTGTCAGCAAAATGCCATCAAAGCATAATGAATCCAAATTGTTGCATGTATCATAGTTTATATTTTTTAAATATAGCTTCCCAGTTCATTATTGGTAAATAGAAATGTGATTGAATATTGTGTGTACTCAGTCAGTATTGGAGAGGGCAAAAGTCCTCAAATGGACCTGCTCTGCTTTTCCAGCTGTCTTGGTGCTCTTCCATTCTCAGGTCTGTCAGACACTTCCTTCTACCTAAGTGCCAACACCATGCAGGTCTTGTGGCTGACAGTAGTCTGTCCCACCTACTTATATCTTGGTGTTTGTGGGAATGCCTTGTCACATTAACATTCTGTTATAAATGTTGTCCATGAGTTTTCAGTTTTGCTCTCTAGTTGTCCTGTTTGTATGGAGGGATTCTGAGCGGTAGAAAAACAAATTGGGCCACATTGCCATTTTCCCAGAATCCTCTTATCCTTTTCTTGACCTAGCTAAATCATGTGTATTCTTTAAATTTCAAACTTAAAAATAAAGCATTTAATGAATTTTATGGAGCAAATGCTTGCTTAGGTAACCACTACGTGGGCTGTAACCACTATGTGCCAAAATCACTGAATATCCCTTATTGATTACAACATCCTCACTCCTCCTCGAAGGCAACCACTATCTTGACTTTTGTGATTGTCACCCTCTTTCTTTTCTTTATAGTTTACCAACCATGTATGCAAATAAACACCTAAACATATACTTTTTTTTTTTGCCTGTTCTACAACTTTACATAAATGGGAACATGTTGTATACATTCTTGTGTGTCTTCTATCAACATTAGATGGGAGATTTGTCTGTAATTGTGTTTAAGGATTTTAATAATTTTCATTACGTTGTATATTGGTATTCCACTGCATGAATATACCATAATTGCTATCATTTTAAAACATTTGGGTTTGTTTCCTACTTTTCACAAAAGCAATGCTGCAGTGCGTATTCTTGTATGCATAGCCATTTTTCTACAGCAGCTGTGCCCATTTATTCTCTCACGGACAGGATATGAAAGTACCCATTGCTATAAATCCATGGTAGCATTTAGTATTGTCAGACTTTAATTTTTGCCCATGTGTTTGGTGTATCATTGGTGTCCTGTGGTTGTAACTATCATTTCCTTGAGTACTAGTGAGCCTGATAACCTTTTCAATGCTTGTTAGTTATTTTGATTTCAATTTTCATGAGTTGCTTGTTTATCTCATTTGCCCATTTTTCTATTGAGAGAGATACACACACTTATGTGTGTATACACACACCCACATAAACATGTATACATACATACATACACATCATATTGAATACAGCTCCTTTGATATTTGATAATATTATGTCACAGATGCCTTCTCCCACCCTCTAGAGCTTGAGAATAAAGATGTGTGTAGTCAGTGTAAATGAGAACTCATATGATGGAAGCATGAAAAATAATACAAGACCAGTTTAGATTTGACCGTGAAGCTTATTCCACAATATTTGGTGAATTTACATAGTGGCTAATAAAAATTAATGTTATGAATGGAATAAGAATGGAATATTAAAGTGGTAGGGTCAGCAGAGACTTACAGGACCATATGAATATAATATAATGATGGAAATCAGAAAATTGAGACACCTAGATTTCCTGGTTAGTACATGGGTGCTTTATTGGATAAGGATCTTGTAGATATTTCCACTTGCTGGTTAACATGAGGACAAGAGGTGATTTTGGATATTTCCAAGTCTGCAAGTAAAGGTTCTAAAATAATGCCCACCCAGATTTATACAGTATGCTTTCTGAATCTAAACTAATTGTGAACTTTGGATTCTTTTCCATTCCCAACCTGTGTTCACATCAGGGGAATATCTACTTTCTTTCTATTTTAAAGGGAAGCAATTTTATACAAAGACCTGAAATATGGAGTGGGAATTGGTCTTTGGGCTGTGGCATCAGGGGGAAAACTTGCTCCAAGCAGCAATTAGCATCAGGCCTGACAGCTGGAGTTAGGCCTCTAGCCAATAAAGAGCCCACAGACTAAATACCAGGATATCCATCCAATTAAGTATGGCCTTGACACTGTGCCAAACATTCTTTTTCCTAGATTTCAGGAAGTAGCGTTAGTCTGTCATTTATATAAATTGTTGTAAAACTAATTCCTACCTTCAGATTTAAAGCTTGAAAATAGATCATATGAATCACAATTCACTTTAGTAGTATAGGTAAACATTTAAAAATGTTTATAGATTTTAAAATGTGAATTTCATCTGCTAGTTTTTATTTGGTGTAGATAAATACTAAACTGCCTTAAAATGATCACAGGTGCATTTCATGTTCATTTTACTGGAAACTAACTTTTAAATTTTACTTATTTATTTTTACCATTTTATTTTTTAAATTCTTTTTAATTTTTAAATTTATTTATTTATTTTATTTATTTATCTTTTAAATAGTTTATTGTCAAGTTGGTTTCCATATAACACCCAGTGCTCATCCCCACAAGTACCCTCCTCCATGTCTGTCACTCCCCTTCCCCTCCCCCCTGCCCCCGTCAGCCCTCAGTTTTTTCTCAGCATTCAAGAGTCTCTCTCATGGTTTGCCTCTCGTCCTCTCTCCCACTATTTTTCCCCTTCTCCCCCATGGTCCTTGGTTAACTTCCTCCTAATCCTCTTATATGTGCAAACATATGGTATCTGTCCTTCTCTGTCTGACTTATTTCGCTCAGCATAACACCCTCAAGGTCCATCCATGTTGCTACACATGGCCAGATTTTATTCTTTCTCATTGTCCTGTAGTATTCCATTGTATAGATAAACCACATCTTCTTGATCCATTCGTCTGTTGATGGACACTTAGGCTCTTTCCATGTTTTGGCTATTGTTGAGAATGCTGCTATGAACATTGGGGTACAGTGTCCCTATGCATCAGCACTCCTGTATCCCTTGGGTAAATTCCTAGCAGTGCCATTGCTGGGTCATAGGGGAATTCTATTGTTAATTTTTTGAGAAATCTCCACACTGTTTTCTAGAGGGGATGCACCAGTTTACATTCCCACCAACAGTGTAGGAGGGTGCCCGTTTCTAGTTATTTTTTTAAAATTCCTTCGTTAAATAGTTATATAGACTTCTTTTCAAATCAAGCAGATAGTAAATTGAATGTAATTTTATTATTTTTTCCTAATGTATATTGCCTCTTTATATGAGTGAGTGTGATTTCAGGCAGTTGATAGATCATAGAGAAATAGATTTTTAAGTCAGGCATCAGAAACAGAAGTGGACATTTTTAGAAAAGGAGTTTGGTAAGACTGATAATTGTGAGCACTGGCAGTATACATTTTGTAGGCTTTCCATTTTTTGAGGCTTATTGTCTAGCTTAATCTTAAATTTGTTTTTCCTTTGACTAGGGCGCCAAGATTCTGTGTTCATCATTCATCCTCAGCAAAACATGCTACTGCTGAACTGAAATTCTGGCACCTCCGTCAAGAGAAGCCAAGGAAGGATGTTGACCCTTTTCCACAAATGGCAACGCTCTTGCCATTAAGACCTAAATCGTGCATCCCACAGATATCTGATATGCAGGTAGGGTGGACATTGTTACTTTGATCCCCTTATCATGTGTGTAGAAAAATATCCATGCTTGTGTTTTGTACACTAATACTTAAGTTTCATCGTAAGCTTTTTGGGGGCTTGTTGTTAATGTACATGCTGGACAATTATGAATTAAGAAAACCTATGGTCTGTTCTCCAGCAATCAGCCAGAGTGATCCTTTAAAAATAAGGATATGGTCACTCACCTGTTCCAAATTTTCTAGTGGCTTCCTCTCTCATTCAGAACAAAATCCAGGCAACTATGTAACTCTTTACATAGTTATACATACCCCTGCTAATTTCCTGACCTCGTCTCCTCCCCCTCTTCTCTAACAGTCCATTCCAACCACACTGGCCTGTCTGCTATTCTTTGACCATACCAAGCAAAAATCTGGAAGTTCTCTATATAATACGCTTAATTTTTTTTTTTAAAGAAAGCTTGTTTCATTGTGGTGAAAAACACATAACATAAAATTTATCATCTTAACCATTTTCAAGTATCTACTTCACTGGTAAGTATATTTGCATTCTTGTGAAACAGATCTCCAGAACTTTTTTATCCTGCAGATTTGAAGCTACATACCCATTAAAACAACTCCCCTTCTCCTCCTCCTGCAGCCTCTGGAAACCACCATTCTACATTCTGTTTTTATGAATTTGACCACTTTGTATGATACTTTTAATAAGCTTAGCCCCCTATGGTACCACTCATTTATTGAGTGTTGCTTAATGTCATGCTGTGTTCTGAATTACTGAAACAGATGTGGACCTTGATACCTAGGAAGTTATGTGTAAAACATTCTTAAGCAATTAGTTTTGTTTATGGAATTGTTAAGAAATATTAGTAGTTATTAGAGACCTAGAGTGTATATAAGATTTTATTGTTTGTTCTCGATAATAAAACATCACAAATATATTCCTTGCTCTCCAGCAACATATATCATATTCTAATAGAAGTTGACATATAAGAAAACTTGGTGTTTGTTTTTCAAATCACAAAAATAACAAAACTACTGGGAATTTGGAAACTGAAGAGACAAATCACTTCTGGTCTCACCTACTTCTAGGCAACTGTTACTTATTTTCTCTTGGTCTTGTTGTGAATCTTTAATTTTAATGTGCTTATACCTCTGTATTCTGAAGATTTCTTCAAACATCTTCATCACATTTTCCATGTGTGTCATAATTTCATAATCCTTACTCTTAAAGTTTTATATAATGTTACATTTATATATGTCTCCCACACTCAGATCATTGTGTCTTTCTCCTCGAGTTGGACTTTTATGTGTTTATACTTTTTTGATTCATACATGTAGCTTTTACCAAATAGTTAACTTTTACCATAAATAACATTTAAGAATGGGAACAAAAATAAAATGTCCAAAAATGGAAGGAAATATTTTTCTTAAGATAGAGGTCTTTAGTATGGACCAGTGATATCCTTGCTTCCTTTCCCTATGTCCATTCATCATCCTCCCATCTCTACCCCCCAGATGGACTAAAACCTATTCGATTATAGAATAAAGAAAAGGTTTTATGAAGTTCTCCCTCTAGGAAAGAGTCTTCTTTCACAATGATGTGAGTAGGGATATACAAACCTTTGGCCTTTCTTATACTGTAAAGAGTTGTAGGGGTTTCAGCATGCTGGGTGTAGAAAAGTGGGAGTTTGGGAAGGTGTACGTTTTTAATCTAGTGGGAACATGGTAGGCAGTAGGACGAGAGAGGAGATCCTCTAGGGATCAAAGCTTAAGGTATATGTGCAGAGCTATGCTTTATTCTCTGGCCTTTTTTCCCCCTTCATATTGCTCATTTTTCACTTGGTTTATTATTTTACCACTTGTTAGAAAGAAGAATCCAATTTATTACAACGTCCTAAATCTCCTAAGAAACCACCTAGAGTAAAAACAGCAGTTCAGAAACCTTGGAAGAGCAAGTCTTTGTATCTAATTTCTTCGAAGGATGATGCGATTGAGAAAGGGTAGGTGTGGCTTTTGACATGCCAAGTGTTATTCTACAATGATAAGACTTTGAAAGAACTGAAAAACTAAATTGAAATAGAAAACTGAATATATAGATTGTTTGAGTTCCTTATATTTTGGTGATAGGTATTAGAGTCAGGCATAGTCTAAATTAGGAGCAGAACTCCTGAGATGAGTAATTTGAAATGGTTGGTGCCTCTCATCTCCAGCCTCCCATGAGCTGTACGGCCCAAAGACTTCTGAGAAGTTTGCCCTCCAGCTCTCATTTGGTCCTATTCAATAGTTTGGTATTTCTCAAACTTGAGAAGTCATAAGACTCTCAAAAATATTGTCATTATTTAACACAGTATATTTATTCACTTAGCTTTGCCCGCATATTTACTCTTTTCGTTATTCTTTATTTTGAGTTGGATTATTTTCCTTCAACCTAAATAAATACCCTTTGATGTTAACTTTGGTGTGGGATCTGCTGGGGAATAATTTTCTGTTTACTAATTTATTATTTCACTTCCACTTTTTTCTTTCCCTTTGAGATAAAATTCACATAACATAAAATCTACCATTTTAAATTTATTTTTAATGTTTTTATTATTGTAGACTGTGCCAATGATCAGCCTGCAGTAAAACTTAGGGTATTTTCTAGTATGTGCTTTTTCCAGGACATGTGTGGTTACTTTCTAACTTTTCCCTGCATATGCAGTTGCATTTGAGAATCCTAATCTTTAATGTCTGACTTCTAAAAGGAAAAAAAGAGAAAACTGAAGGTTGGGTAGGAGTGGGGTTGGGGGGAAGGATAGTGTCTCTTTAAATTCCCTGGAAATCACTTCAACCTGAGGGGGACTGGGTACCACAAGAATGGCCAACTGCCTCTGTCTGCATCTCTGTGATCTGCAACAGCAATCAGAGATCAGAGCACAGGTCCCTGATATTTGGCAGACACCGTCCTTTCTGCTCACCTTGGCTCTTGCAGCTGTGTGTAGAATGCTCCAGGAAGATGTGCTCAACTGTCTGCCACAGGGCGGGGGGGAAGGGTAGCTACGACTGTGCAAAGGGGCTCTAACTGACCAAAATTAACCATGATTTACTGTCTAAGCCTTTCCCTGGAAGTTGAAAGCCTTAAGTAGACTCCAAAGCTCCAAAATGGTTACAATAGATTCTGCCAGTTCAGTTGTCTAGGTGGGGAGGCAGGTTTCTGGTGCTTTCTACTCTGACATCTTCCTAGAATCCTTACCTCTGGGAATTTTCCTCTTCAGTGAGTTTCGGCCCCAAAATTCTTTTTAAAAATTTATTATTATTGTTGTTGATTTTAATTCTAGCATAGTTAATATATAGTGTTGTATTAGTTTCAACGCTAAATTAGCTTATAGTTGATTAAATTATAAAGTTTATAGTTGATTCAGTAGTTCCATATATTACTCAGTGCTCATCAAGATCAGTGTCTTCTTAATCCCCTTCACCTATTTCACTTATCCCCCTCACCCACTTTCGCAATCATCTGTTTGTTCTCTACAGTTAAGGGTCTGTTTTTTTTTAGTTTGTCTCTCTGTTTTTTTCCCCTCCCTTTGTTCATTTGTTTTGTGTCTTAAATTCCACACATGAGGGAAATCATGGCATTTGTCTTTCTCTGACTGGCTTATTTGCTTAGCCTTCTACTCCCTAGATCCATCCATGTTGTTGCAAATGGCAAGATATTCCATTGTACATATACCACTTTTTTTTTTAATGCTTTCCATTATGTTACCTTTTTTTTATTTTATTTATTTATTTATTTATTTTTTAATTTCTAGGAGAGAGAGAGAGAGAGAGCGTGAGCAGGGGAGGGTCAGAAAGAGAGGGAGTCACAGACTGAAACAGGCTCCAGGCTCCGAGCTGGCAGTCAGCACAGAGCCCGACGCGGGGCTCGAACCCATGAACCGCGAGATCATGAACTAAGCGAAAGTCGGACGCTTAACCGACTAAGCCACCCAGGCGCCCCTCCATTATGTTACCTTTTTAAAAGCTTTTAATTTTAATTCCAGTGTACATAACACAGTGTAATATTAGTTTCAGATGTATAATATAGTGATTCAACATTTCCATACAACACCCTGTGCTCATCACAAATGACTTCTTAATCCCCATCACCTATTTCGCCCATCTTCTCACCAACCTCCCCTCTGGTAACCAGCAGTTTGTTCTCAATAATTAAGAATCATTGTCTTGGTCTGCCTGCCTTTCTCTTTTTTCCTTTGCTCATTTTTAAAAATTTCCTAAATTCCACATATGAGTGAAATCAAATGGTATTTCTCTTTCTCTGACTGGCTTATTTCGCTTATCATTATATTCTCTAGCTCTTTCCATGTTGTTACAAATGGCAAGATTTCTTTTTTTATGGCTGAATAATATTCCTCTGTGTGTGTGTGTGTGTGTGTGTGTGTGTGTGTACACATATATAAAATCATACCACATCTTCTTTATCCATTCATCTATTGATGGATATTTGGGCTGCCTCCATAATTTGGCTACTGTACAATATACATACATAAATTAGTGTTTTTGTATTTTTGGGTAGATACCAAATAGTGCAAGTACTAGATTGTCGAGTAGTTATATTTTTAACTTTTTGAAGAATGTCCATACTTTTTTCCAGAGTGGCTATACCAGTTTGCATTGCCACCAACAGTGCAAGAGAGTTCCTTTTTCTCCACATCCTAACCAACACTTGTTGTTTCTTATGGTTTTGATTTTAGCCATTCTGACAGGTGTGAAGTGATTTCTCATTGTAGTTTAGATTTGCATTTCTTTGATGATGAGTGATGTTTAGATGTCTGTTGGCCATCTGCATGTTTTCTTTGGAGAAATGTCTGTTCATTTCTTCTGCCCAATTTTAAATTGGATTATTTGTTCTTTGGTGTTGATTTGTGTAAATTCTTTATTTTTGTTACTAACCCTTTATTGGATATGCCATTTGTAAATATCTTCTCCCATTCATTCTATAGGTTGTCGTTTAGTTCTTCTGATTGTTTCCTTTGCTGTGAAGGTTTTTATTTTAATCAGTCCCAATAGTTTCTTTTTGCTTTTTGTTTCCCTTGACTCAAGAGATGTATCTAGAAAGATGTGATTATGGTTGATGTCCACGAAATTATTGCTGGTGTTCTCTTGTAGAAGTTTTATGGTTTTAGGTTCGTCCTTAATCCATTTTGAGTTTATCTTTGTATATGGTGTAAAATTATAGTCCAGTTTCATTCCTTTGCAAGGAGCTGTCCAGTTTTCCCAGCACAATTTGTTGAAAAGAATGTCTTTTTCCCATTGCATATTCTACCTCTTTTGTTGAATATTAATTGACCATATAATTGTGGGCTTATTTCTGTTGGCCACAAAATTCTTAACTACATTGTTAGCACTCAGATTTTTTCTAGCAAATTAATTTTTGTATTTTTTTCAGTTTATCTAGTCTTCAAAAGGAGAGTTGGTCTAAATCACCTTGTATGCTAATTCCAAAAATAGCGGTTAATAAGCTTTGGTTGTAGATACTTTTCTTGCATTATATTAGTTCCTATGGCCTGCATCCCCATGAAGAAAACATCATCTTAATTTTTCAAGTGATAAAACAAGTGAAAAGACATATAGGTATGAATTGAGAGAAAAGTTGAATTTTGAGAACTATATATGGTTTTTAGTTTAAGTTGTGGTTAGATACAGAGTATTACAGTAAAAATGCAAGATAAAAGCTAAAACAATAATGGAGGTTCAGATAGTGACATTTTTCTGTGTTACGTTAGGCAATTTGGAGATTATTTCCCATGCAGTGGAGAATATCTAGAGAGTTTTTTGTATGTGTCATTTATTAAAATAAAATTATTTTATCTTCAAAATTGGAAATATACACATGGTTCAAAAATAGTATCATGCTATAAACTTGTTGCATGCCTTTATTTTTTTTAATATTGAAAAATATTTATTTATTTGTTTTGAGAGAAAGGGAGAGAGAATCCCAAACAGATCTTACACTGTAAGTGCAGAACTCATCATGGGGCTTGATCTCATGAATCATAGGATCGAGACCTGAGCTGAAATCAAGAGTCATACACTTAACCAGCTGAGCTACCCAGGCACCCCTCCTGTATCTTTGTTTTTACTGAGTTTATCTAACATGTTTCATAACAGTAAATGTACTACAATAATAGATATACTATAATCTGTTTTTTCTTATTCTTATAATCTTATCTCTCCTTATGTCTGTTTATCTTTCATTTTGTGCCAAATATTATTATATTTTCACTCTATTCATGGACATTATTTCCAGTATTTGTCATTATTAAAAGCAATGTTGTATATTTGCTATATTTCACTTTAATGCATATGTCTGCAGGCTAAATTCCTAAAGAAAAAGAATTTTTAAATCAAAGTTCATGTGATTCAAAAAATTTTTTAGAGGGGCGCCTGGGTGGCTTAGTCGGTTAAGCGTCCGACTTTCGCTTAGGTCGTGATCTCGCGGTTCGTGGGTTCGAGCCCCGCGTCGGGCTCTGTGCTGACTGCCAGCTCAGAGCCTGGAGCCTGTTTCAGTCTGTGACTCCCTCTCTCTCTCTGACCCTCCCCTGCTCATGCTGTCTCTCTCTCTCTCTCCTGGAAATAAATAAAACATTAAAAAAAAAAAAATTTTTAGACACTACCAAGTTGAATTTCATAGGAGTTATAACAATTTATATGCCTTTCAGCATGTATGAGAGCATCCAAACTACTCTGTGCCTTTTAATTAGAGAGTTTAGTCCATTTACATGTAAAATGATTATTGGTAAGTATGGACTCATTATCATTTTATTAATTGCTTCCTGGCTATTTTGTAATTCCTTTGTTCCTTTTTTCTTGCTCTCTTCTTTTGTGATTTGATGATTTTCTTTACAGGAAAAAGGTATTTTTAAGGTGGTGGAGACTTGAGCCTGTTTATATGCTTAGAGTAGTATCTAGTGAAAAGGAAGAAATTAAAGATCCATGAGAAAGAAGAAGGTCTGTATTTTCTTTTTTTAAGTTTATTTATTTTGAAAGAGAGAGAGTACACGCATGTGTGCATGAGCTGGAGAGGGGCAGAGAGAGAGGGAGAGAGCAAGAATCCCAAGCAGGCTCTGTGCTTTCAGCATGGAGCCCAACATGGAGCTCGATCTCACAAATTGTGATTATTGTGACTTTAGCTGGATCAAGAGTCAGATACTTAACTGATTGAGCCACCCAGGCACCCCAAAGGTCTGTATTTTCAAAGGAGAATGGAAGGAAGGGTTCAAGAACAAAGGCCATGAGATTAACCTTGGAGAGGATATAGGACACTTTTTCCTGAGACAGGATGGAAGGAAATAAGACTAGGTATAGGTGGATGTATTTGTTGATAAACAATTTAAGAGTGTTTTCAGCTGCAAATTACAGAAACTTGACTAACAATGGCTTAGACAAATTGGGCTTATTTTTCTGACAGAACAAGAAATCTGAGGGTAGGTAACTGCAGTATTGCGTCCCCGGATCAGAAATATTAGGGCCTGAATTTTTGTAATGTTCTTAGCCATTCTTTCATATTCATTGGTGTTGTAGCTTCTGACATCAGGCTTTCCAATCATAAAGGAAGAAGGGTGATTTTCATTAATCTTTCCCTTTGGTTAGAAAAGCAAGCTTTCTTAGAAGTTCCCCAGCAGACTTTGTTTTGTATCTCCACTAGTCATAAGTGTATCACATGACAATCCCTCTCTGCAAGATGGTCTTAGAAAGTGAATATTTAGCTTTATCAGTATCTCAGTAGTGCTGGTTATAAAGCTATGTCACTGGGAATGGGTGCTGAGTTAGCTAGCCAGTCAAACAGTGTCTGCTACATTGGGGAATGGAAACAAGCATGCTGTACCTACCTTTGGCCTGAGAAACTCAAGCATATTTTACCTACATTTTGTCTGAGAAGAAGCTGCAAAGCAATCTGCTGGTGGATTGGAATGCAGATATATTGGTGAGGTGGAATGGGCATGTTTTATGGACCTGGAAAATAAGGTTTCAAATAATTGCAGTGAGGTATGGAGAGGGAAAACAGTATAATGTCTGAAGTCATTAGTCTAGCTCCAAAATCTTCCATTATCTCACCCCACACTACCATATATAAATCCTTATGAATCCCACCTATTATGAGGATTAAATATGATAATGTTAATTGTATTTAGCACAGTGTTTGGTATGTTATATAGTGTTCACTTGACAATTAGTGTCCCCTTACCCTAAGCAAATTAGTTAACATGCCTTTATTTTATTTTATTTTTTTATCTGTTGCCTTTTAAACTTTCATTTTTGCTCACTATTCTCTCCATCTAAAGAACTTCTCTAAACACACACACACACACACACACACACAGAATTCATTTCTTACCCATTTTTTCAGGGAAAATCTCATTTCTTTTATTACTAATATAGCTCAAAGGGACTTCTCGTTCTTACACTCCATGGTATTTATTATCCATTCCCATCATTTGGCATCTATAATATATTCTTGAATTCATTCAACCAGCAGGTATCTTATTGAGAGTTGTCTTTCTATAGGACTAGATTTCATTTTTTCAACCACCTCTTAAAGGCTGGACCTGATGCTTGCACTGTTTTTCCCCTGTTCTCTCACAGTGCCCAGATGCACTCATAGGATTTATATATGCATATAAATAAATTCAAATATATATTCGGATATATATGTACATATATATTCAAATGTGTGTGTGTATATTTGTGTGCTCGCATGTGTACACTTCATTGGAAAAAGAAAAGCTTCAAAACCAGAGTGTGTTGCCCTGTTAAGAATGTCTAATGTGCATTCCAGGTATTGGAAGGCAGGCAGTTTTGCCAAAAGACAATGTCACTAGGACATATGGATTGTAATTATAAAACAAAGTTTGGAAATGCACCAGGGCTGGTGGATGCCAGCAGAGAGAGGGGCCACTGCCAGGGACACAGAACAATGAGTGAGTGCTTTGGGAGTAAGGCTCCGGGGAGTTGAAGGACACTGGCCCCAGGTCCAGGGTGGATGTTTGGCCAACCATCTGGGCTCCAAGGGGAAGCACATGTCCAGCAGATTTCTAGAAGAGGGCATTGCTCGGCCTCCAAACAAGTCACTAGCTCACACTCCCAATGGATATGCTTTCTGACTTCCAGGCAGTTTCCTCAGGAGGATTTCCCTTCCCACGTGTAGTAACAATACAGGAAACCTAAGACAATAGGGCCTATGATGGGCAAAATCCAATATGACCAGCAACTTTTGGACATGGTATCTTTCGAAGGTTCCTTGCTACTACTTTCAGGTTTAAGGTCATTTGGATGCACATCACCAATATCGTGCCACTTGAGCATTTCTGTGGCTTCAGAGGAGTGGCCTACATTTTCAAAGCTTTCACTTGCACCTGCACCAGTTTGTTCTAGTAGAACCTCTTCTCCTGAAAGATGCTCATTCAGAAAATGGGTGATATCGTGGACTTGCCCACGGACCACCAGACATATCTCCTTCATGGAGTTGAACTTCACTGTCTCCCCCAGTCGATAATACAGGTGATGGAGGGCTTGACCCCTTGCCTTTTCCCATTGTTGCCACTTGCTTCCACAGTTGCCATTGGGCCTAAGACTCTTCTTCTCCACCACTTTCTGGGTTTCCCTCACTCCTAAGAATTGATGCCATGTATGCCAAAGGAGCTCAAAATATGTTAATCAATTAGTTCTCATCCTTATAATTTAGGTTGAGGCACAGGTCAGAAAGCACCAGAGTTATTCGCTTAACATCTTTTACTGATATTTCTGAATGTCTGAAGCCCCAACTGGACAGAAGATATACTTATACAGAAGAAACTTTGGTAAGTATTTTGAGAAGACTAATTTGATTCTTCATTTAACTGACGTTAGAGAATTCTTTTAAATGTTTATTTATTTAGTTTGAGAGAGTGAATGCACATGTGTGCAAGTGAGGAAGGGGAAAGAGAGACTAGGGAGAGAGAATCCCAAGTAGGCTCCACACTGTCAGCACAGAACCCAGTGCAGGGCTTGATTTCATGAACTGTGAGATCATGACCTGAGCCAGAACCAAGAGTGGGATGCTTAACTGACTGAGCCACCCTGGTGCCCCACATTAGAGAATCTTTATTGATTTACTATAGTATTTTTTCTTTACTAAACAACACATTTTATTTTCTCCTTCTGAAAGAAAATTTTTAATGTTTATTAAATTTATTTTTGAGAGAGAGAGAGAGAGAGAGAGAAGGGAGGAAGAGAGAGAGAGAAACCGCATGAGTGGGAGAGAGGCAGAGAGGGACGGAGACACAGAATTTGAAACAGGCTCTAGGCTCCAAGCTGTCAACACAGAGTCCAATGTGAGGCTCAAACCCACAGGTCGTCAGATCATGACCTGAGCCGAAGTTGGATGCCCAACTGACTGAGCCCCCCTCAAAAGGATTTTTATACAGAAATTTCCTCTGTGTTTCCTTTTGTAGTACCATGTTGCTGTATACTCCATTGGTTACTATTTTCAAAAACAGCTGTGTTCTGGTTTGTTGTCATAACACTTTAGACACAAAATAAGACTGTTGTTTTTATTAAATGGTTAACATTTGATAAAAAAATAATATTTGATGTTGTTTTGGGAACTTAGACATTTTATAAAATTCTATTTCCACTGTGTGGCTACCTTGTAATGTGGATTTACTATACCAGTTGTAGATGATAAGTTTACATTTCCTGAGGACTATACTTTAGGTAGAAACCTTGGTTGTTCCAATAGAGTCTGAACACTTAGATGCAATTTTGTATATCTTTTTATTTTATTCTAAGCAAACAGTGCTCCTTTTCTTACACCTAGGATTTTTTTCCCCACTGAAATAATGATTTTTTTTTTAATGTTTTTGGAATGCCAGTGGTTAAACATCATAAAAACATTATATTCTAACTTTGGAATTTGTTTAGTAGAGGGATAAATAGAGGCAAAAAGACATTATAACAACACCTTAAGTTGTTCATGCCACAGTTATCTCAAGATTACAAAGAAGTCTGAGTTCCACACAGCAAATACCAAAGAGTTCCTATGAACAGTTGATGCTCTTTCGTTTTCTGCAGTCACTCTGTGCTTGGAGAAATAGCCAGCTTTCTGTGTTTCAAGAATGGTATTAGGGTTGCCAGCATTGTTGGCAGAGAGGCCCCCAAATAACAAAGTTTTATGAGAACTTATATTGTCATTGACCCTCTGAAGGCCATGACCTGTAATGGGTGAGACTGTCCAAAGAGGGACCCCCTGAGGACAGTTAATGAGCAGCACTGAGAGGCCTTGAAGATGGTTCTTTTTATAACTCTCTTGTAGCCATTATAGCATCACCTCAAGGCTAAAATAACAATAAATATGTAGGAAAGAGGCCACCAACAGAGATTTGGAAGACTCCTAAAATGGTATCACTGTGCCTGAAACATGAAAATAATTGAGGTTGAGAAGTCATTTTAACATTAAGTTTGAAATCAGATTGGTTTATAATAGAATGAAGTCGGCTGCTATGGTTGGCTCAATAAATGAATCTTAAATGACAGAGGCAAACATACTGCATTAATTACTTATATGGTACAAAAATAAAATAAAAAGTCAGCGGGAAAATGACAGCCTGGAAGAATTTATGAAATCCTGTTGTACAATGTCATAAAAATTACCATGTTCCTGGGTGGATCATGGACTTCTGTTTTGTTATCTAGGTTAAAACCATGGCAGATGGTGCCTTGGGAGGATTTGACATGGAAAATTTGTTGCAATCTTTGTATGTAGAAAATAGATCTGGATTCTTCTTTACTAAATTCTGTGAGCACTCAAGAAACAAGGTAGAAAATAATAAATTTTAAATGTAATTTTATGCTTTTGCCTTAGTTTAAAATAAGAGAAGTTGAAATAATTCAGTACTCAAATAACTACATTTGATGTTAAAATTCCATTTCCTCTGGTAAGAAATTTTATTCTAAATACTTAGTAAAAATGTAAACATCTCAATTATAATTTTCTTGGTTAACTATCTTACTAAAATTGCAAAGAAAGACAAAATACAGACATGGATTGACTTGCATCATTAACAATAATTTATTCTCATGTAATTTTGCTTTAGTGTAATATAAATTAAATTCAGAGTTGGTTTCTAACAATCCTTTAATGTTTATTAAAAATAACTCTAGCAATTAGAAATTGCAATGGAGAGTGGAAGAGTTGCCAGGTGTTTGTTTTTTTTTCTTTTTTTTTTGCTCAATAGAAAGTATCTCAGTGGCTCAATTATTAAAATAGTGGTTGGTTTTAATATGATATGCATTTCCCATATATATATATATATAAATACTTGGTTTAATGCCAGAAATATGTGATTACTCTTTAATTGTTAACTAGCATGCTTCCTACTCTAATGGCCAATTATGTGAGAGGCATACATGCAAAAGTATAATATTTTAGTGGCAATACCAATAAATATTTTGTATGTTGCCAATTTATAACAGAAGATAAAACCGTCTTAACTTGAACCTGATTTATGGCACCACCAACGAGCTAAACAATTATTTATATTTGAAATCAGAGCTTTGTAGAGCTTTAATAATTGGGTGGTAATGATTTATGTATTTTTTCCATCTGCAGTTGTGGAAGAACAGTGTGTACTTTTGGTTTGACCTACAGGCTTATCATCAGCTCTTCTACCAAGAAACAGTTCACCCTTTTAAAATATGCAAACAAGCCCAAGTAAGTAGTGAATAATGTCAGTTCAATGTGCAGCTCTGAGTACATAGAGACATGAAGAAGTTGTGTCCAGCCCCAAACAAGAGAAATCTGGGAGCAGTTCACTTGCTGCCATGGGATTACTTTATTTAAATGTCAGTAGAATATTGTTCTATAATCTGATTTGTGGGTTTCTAGTTTTTATCTGTTTTATTGGGTTTGCATTATTTTCTCTTTGCCAGCAATTTCTTGTTGTTCCAAAAAACGACGTCCCATATTTTTTCTCATTTATGCCTTTTTGGTTTGGTTGTGAGTGATTTAAGAGAGAATCCTGAGAGAGAGGACTTGTCATGAATCATTGAAATGATGGGGAGCAGAGGCATTGACCAACATGTTTGCTGAGCTTCCTGCAGAAATCAACTGTTGTACAGACTCAGGCTGGTGACCATGTGGCTGGGGGGAAAGGATGTTGACTGACGGTGTGTGGTGTAGACTCCGTGTCATCGCCTGCACGCGTGTGCTCCATACCAGGGACACCAACACTGCGAGGTAGAGAAGAGAACATCTCAAGACCACCCTGAAGCAAAACAGAGGAGGAAAAAAAAAATAGAGGAGGAAGAACAGAGGATTCTCTGCAGAGGGAGACAGAGAGAGTGGCCTCTTTTGAGGGGGGAGAAGGAAAGAGAATAGAATTATGACTCAAGCTGACTTAATCTTTTCAGTTTTTTATTCTTAGGATTTTATGATCTTTTATGGAGAGAAGTCTTCAAGCCTAGAAAACTGCATTTCACTTCTGTATCTGTTGACCACTTATTGGGGTTCTTACAAGCCGGAATAGTCCCCTCCCAGAGAACCCCTCCCTGAATGATGCAGAGTTTAGTTTTGTCATATTATTTACTACCTTACACCCTTATTCAGGATAGTGAAGAGGACTACTGCTGGATGTCTGTTGTTAGCTTCTACCACCCACACTCTGGCGATGATACCTACACTTTGGAAATCAGCTGACAGAGCTTTGCACTGTTTTTACTATGCAAATGAGGGCTTCAGCTTCTACCTGGCTTGGATCTGGCTCGGTGCAATCATGAAATTGTGTCTCTAATTTGCCAGTACCATTTTTTGAAACCACACAGTGGGCTCTTCTGCTTGTTAATCCTTTACCTGTGAATCTTCACTTACCCTCCTCCCTCCCCCTAACCTCTTGGCTCTCTCTGGTGGAGTACCATCTGTTGTTTGTTATGTTCTTACTACTGCAAAGCCTACGCCTCCAAAAATCTTCAGCTGCTTGTTCAAGTGGGTTTTTCGTTGTTGTTGTTGTAATCACCATATTTCCCTGCATTTGTAAAAGTAGAAATTATTTTTAAGTTTGTTAGACTTACTAACTCTTAGTAATGATATTATTCAACCTGGTATAGACATATTGTGAGATAGGATGCAGCCAAGTTTTGATTACTCTGAGGTGGATTATTCTGTTTTGAGGTTATCAAGGTCCATAAACTTTTTATCTTCCTCTGGATTATCTTTAAAAAAATTTTTTTAAAGCGCTGGGTGGTTCAGTTAGTTAAGTGTCTGACTTTGGCTTGGTCATGATCTCACAGTTTGTGGGTTTAAGCACCATGTCGGTCTCTGTGCTGACAGCTCTGAGCCTGGAGCCTGCTGCAGATTCTGTGTCTCCCTTTCTCTCTGCCCCTCCCCCACTCATGCTCTGTCTCTCAAAAAAATAAACATTAAAAATTTTTTAAATTTTTTTAAAAATGGAAGTATAATTAGCATACAGTGTTATATACAACATAGCGATTCAACACTTCTGTGCATTACTCAGTGCTCATCTTTGAAAGTGAAGTCGCTTCTGTCACCAAATATTATTACATTATTGACTGTATTCCCTGTGCTCTACTTTTCATCTCTGTGACTTATTTTATAACTGGAAGTTTGTACTTCTTAATCTCCTTTACCTATTTTATCCATCTGCCTACTTGCCTCTCCTCTGGCAACCATCAGTTGTCTGGTTTTTTTTCTTTGTTTGTTCATTTGTTTTGTTTTTTAGATTCCTCATGTAGTCCCAGAGGGTATTATGTTAAGTGAAATAACAGAGAAAGATAAATACCATGAATTCACTTATCCTATCATTGGTTATCTTTTGGGGAGTCACAGCAGGTGGGGGGAGGGGAACAATGGAGAAAGTTACTTTCAGGTGAATAGGGGAAAACCAAAGGAGCAAGTCATGTGAATTTTTTTTTTTACATCTATGGTTACTTTATTTTTTAGTTAATGGAGCAATGACTAAATTGGTTTAATTATCCAAGATTCCTGTGCTTCCAGATGTAAGAATTGCTTCTAATGTCATAATCCTATCGATTTCTTTCACAGTGTGAAATGTTATTCATTTCTTTATAATAGAAATGCTGTATGACTTTCTTCAAGAGTATATTTGCAATACAGATATTTGGATCAATAATGTCAATGGCAGAGTGTAATCACCTGGTATTGTGTTAAACTCACTATGAACTTGATTTTTATTGTTTTTATACATCTGACAAAATGTATGGTAGGAGACGGAGAGTTGCTTCCAAAGGACTTGCATGCTTTTCTGTATGCTAGTGGGCAAATGACATGCCTCGATGTTTATTGCCTCATGAAATACTGCGGAAGTATCTATAGGCAAACTAGATGGGGGATCGGCGACAGTGATTTGCCATGAGTCACTGTGGTCTAAGAGTTTCAGCTACAGTCTTGGGCATATCCTGAAGATTTTACTGCATGGCTTCAAGATAGAATAGTGCAGTTAGAAACCAATTGAAATGGCTTTGGCAAGAAAAAAACTCTCTGCACTACCATCGTGCAGAGATAAAGTCTTTCACTAGCAACAGTTGGCTGGGCTACCATTTATCACTGCTAAGATTTGGAGCCCAGATTGTTGCCACAGATAACCGTGCTGCTTTTTTGATACTACATACTTTCTTTGATGATAGAGCACTACAATAGTATGAACCAGATCTGGGTACCACTGTCTTTTGTAATGTTTTCCACCTTTGTAGAAATTTTTCAAACAAACTCCATCCCAACAAACACTATGCATTTAGAATTTATCACTCACCATAGCTTCTACATTGAGAATTTTTTGGAATTAGTAAACAAATATAATCATAAATATTATACATGTTCATACATGTATACACCATTTATTCTTATTAATCATACACACAATTAAAAAGTGGGAAAGAGGCAAGGGATACAGAAATGCTGAGGCATAGGAGCACATGTACCCCAATGTTCATAGCAGCACTCTCCACAATAGCTAAAACATGGAAAGAGCCTAAGTGTCCATCAACGGACGAAAGGATCCAGAAGATGTGGTTTATCTATACGATGGAATACTACATGGCAATGAGAAAGAATGAAATCTGGCCATGTGTAGCAACATGGATGGACCTTGAGGGTGTTATGCTGAGCGAAATAAGTCAGGCAGAGAAGGACAAATATCATATGTTTGCACGTATAGGAGGATTAGGAGGAACTTGACGGAGGAACAAGGGGGAGAAGAAGGGCGGAAATGGTGGGGGAGAGGGAGAGAGGCAAACCATGAGAGACTCTTGAATGCTGACAAAAACTGAGGACGGATGGATGTGGGAGGGAGGGAGAGATGGGCATGGAGGAGGGCACTTGTGGGGATGAGCACTGGGTGTTATGTGGAAACTAATTTGACAATAAACTATTTGTAAAAAAAATAAATAAATAAAAATAAAAATAAAAAAAGTGGGAAAGAGGAAGAAAGAAAAAAAATGGTAAAAATTAGAGCCCAGAAGAAAACTTATTTGGAGAATGTAGGAGTTAATGAGTGGAGAGGGTAGGTAAGAATGAAATGTAAATGAAGAATTAGAGGATTTGCTTACTTTTACTACAAAGTGCTATTTAAAAAGATATTCTTGCAGCAGTGTGAAATTTTTGCCTTTTTCAAATAGAACATCAGGAGAACACATTGTTATTTTAATGTATTACCAGATCAGAGGGTATATGACAAAGAAGAAAAAAAAATCACAGAACTTGGAGATGAAAGGAATGAATTTAAATCACATGCTGTTATTATTATGCTATTTCTTAGCTGTGTAAACTTAGTCAAGTCAGTGAATTTAAGAAGCCTCTGTTTCATGTTCTATAAAATGTGGATGGTAACAATGTTTTACATTTTGTTTCCTTATACTGCTTTAGAAGTTACAATTCTATTTCTGTTTTCACCCTTACAGTTTTAATATTTATACCAAAATTAACAAAGTCTACAGTTAATCATTGCTTTATCCTTTCAAACAGTTTACGGATCTTAAAACACTTTAATTCCACCATACCTTGCCCATTTTACATATCATTTTTGTATGGCATTGAAGTTTTTCTTATATACATACCAAGTAGTCGTCATCATTTGTTTTTGATACCATTGATGCTTGTGTAGATTTATTCACACACAAATTTCATGCTTACCATTGCTTTTTGCATCATTTCTGAAGAATATCTTTTAGTAGGGTTTTCATTAGGATTTACTAGTGGTAAAATCAGTTTTTGTTTGTTTGAAAATGTCTATTTTAATTCTCTCATTTGATTATATAGCTGAATATAGAATTCTAGGTTGACAATTTTCTCTTAGCACTTTGAAGGTATTATTTTACTGTCTTATGGTTTCTATTGCTATTATTGAGTAGTCTGCTCTTATTCCTTTGCTTTCTCTCATTATTTAATTTTAAATAATCTCTTGGACTTCAGTGTTCTATATTTCACTTCAGTGTGTTTACCACAGTTTCTTTGATCTGAGTTCCTTCTAGAATCTGAGGAATCATGTCTTCCATCAGTTCTGTAAAATCCTCAGCCATTATTTCTTTCTACTTCTATTTCTTTTTATAGTCTTTCTCTTTTATGTGTTCTATCATTCTAGATTCTCTGTCTGGTCAATGTTGTCAATCCTATATCTGTCTTAATGTCTTTGTCAAATTTTTCCATCTTTTAATATCTGTGTTGTATGTTGTAAATTGAAA